CATCCTTTATGGTTGTATGTGGTACATTATGTGCTAACTAGCTTGTAGCTGTGTCGTGTTTTACATGAAATGCCAACCAATTTAGAAAATACCAAGACTTTGTAGAGGACTGTGGCTTTCAAAGACAGACATATTTCTCTCAAAAATTATTGTACTTCTTTGTACATTTCCTCACATCTGTTCTGATAGTTTTGGTATTATCTCTCTGTAAGTTTGCTGACCTTTGTGATTCCTTGTATTGGCACTATGATTGCATTGCTAGAATGTGTAGCTACTTTTCCAGAAGAGTGCACGCCAGGTCACGACTACGTTTTAGGGTATGAGAGGGGCTTCTAGATGCAATGTATTTGAGGCATAGATTTCAGCCCGAAGTAAAAATCTTCACTTTAGCTGACAGACATACACTTCCTGTTCCATCTGCCAGTCAAAAACAAAAAAAATCTTCAAGCAATAGCACGTGCAATCTCTCTTTTCCCATAGACATGTTTACTTGGCCTACAAGTAAAGCCACACAACTGCTGGTACCAAACAGCCCACCTACAGATTCATATACAGAATCTGTTTATAGAAATGACTTTCATAGTGTAGCCCTGTCTGCAATTATTCGGGCTTGCAGTATAAAGAAAAAAGTCTACTGTTATAAAAAATGGTTAAATAAAATATAAAATACAGTGGGGCAAAAAAGTATTTAGTCAGCCACCGATTGTGCAAGTTCCCCCACTTAAAATGATGACAGAGGTCAGTAATTTGCACCAGAGGTACACTTCAACTGTGAGAGACAGAATGTGAAAAAAAAATCCATGAATTCACATGGTAGGATTTGTAAAGAATTTATTCGTAAATTAGGGTGGAAAATAAGTATTTGGTCACCTCAAACAAGGAAAATCTCTGGCTCTCACAGACCTGTAACGTCTTCTGTAAGAAGCTTTTCTGTCCCCCACTCGTTACCTGTATGAATGGCACCTGTTTGAACTCATCATCTGTATAAAAGACACCTGTCCACAGCCTCAAACAGTCAGACTCCAAACTCCGCCATGGCCAAGACCAAAGAGCTTTCGAAGGACACCAGGAAAAGTATTGTAGACCTGCACCAGACTGGGAAGAGTGAATCTACAATAGGCAAGCAGCTTGGTGTGAAAAATCAACTGTGGGAGCAATCATCAGAAAATGGAAGACATACAAGACCACTGATAATCTCCCTCGATCTGGGGCTCCACGCAAGATCTCATCCCGTGGGGTCAAAATGATCATGAGAACGGTGAGCAAAGATCCCAGAACCACACGGGGGGACCTGGTGAATGACCTGCAGAGAGCTGGGACCAAAGTAACAAAGGTCACCATCAGTAACACACTACAACGGCAGGGAATCAAATCCCGCAGTGCCAGACGTGTTCCGCTGCTGAAGCCAGTGCATGTCCAGGCCCGTCTGAAGTTTGCCAGAGAGCACATGGATGATACAGCAGAGGATTGGGAGAATGTCATGTGGTCAGATGAAACCAAAGTAGAACTTTTTGGTATAAACTCAACTCGTCGTGTTTGGAGGAAGAAGAATACTGAGTTGCATCCCAAGAACACCATACCTACTGTGAAGCATGGGGGTGGAAACATCATGCTATGGGGCTGTTTTTCTGCCAAGGGGACAGGACGACTGATCCGTGTTAAGGACAGAATGAATGGGGCCATGTATCGTGAGATTTTGAGCCAAAACCTCCTTCCATCAGTGAGAACTTTGAAGATGAAACGAGGCTGGGTCTTCCAACATGACAATGATCCAAAACACACCGCCCGGGCAACAAAGGAGTGGCTCCGTAAGAAGCATTTGAAAGTCCTGGAGTGGCCTAGCCAGTCTCCAGACCTCAACCCCATAGAAAATCTGTGGCGGGAGTTGAAAGTCCGTGTTGCTCGGCGACAGCCCCAAAACATCACTGCTCTCGAGAAGATCTGCATGGAGGAATGGGCCAAAATACCAGCTACTGGATATTCCTTTTCTGCAGAATGAAGGGAAAACCTTAGAGGATATCCAAGGGTTACGCACCCACGGAGGGGAAGTGGATGATAATTCTGAAGCCATCATCCGTGCAGTAAGTGAGTTAATGGTCAGAACAAATAAACAGCCTGAAAGCTGTCTAAGGACATTTTCCGGGGTCAGTCCCACCCCAGCTGGGGAAGAAGCCTTAGATACCTGGTTGGAGCAAGCGACACTTCTAGTAGATGAAGGCGAGTGCTCCAATAAAGAAAAACGTAGACGCATACTGGAAAGTCTCAAAGGGCCTGCCTTGGAGATCATTCAGGCCATGCGTCCTGGGAACAACCTGATGCTAGTTCCCAGGACTACATAGAGGCCATAGAGACCATTTTCGGCAGTTTAGAGTCCACAGAGGAGCTCTATCTGTCATTCAGAGCCCTTCACCAACAGCCTGGTGAGCACCTGTCTGAGTTTCTGCGAAGATTAGAGAGGTCTCTTGTTAAAGTAGTCCAGGGAGGTGGCTTACCAGTTAGCGCTGCTAACAAAGCTCGGTTAGAGCAGTTAGTTAAAGGATCCACTTCTGAACTTATGTTGCTTCAGTTGAAAATAAGGGAGCGAATGGAAAATCCTCCCTCATTCCTGAACTTGTTAAGAGAGGTGATGGAAGAGGAAGGCCGTCAAGCAGCCAAACAAAGCCAGACCACATCTAAGTGTCACCAAAGGGTTCGCACAGTTCGGGTAGAAAAGGAGAAAGCGGTCACTCAGAGTGAACTGCAAGCTCAGATTCAAGAGTTGAGAGCACAGTTAGAGGAAAGAAACCACTTAGGAATTCAACCACTGTCTGATTGCACTTTCAAACCCCCAACAGAGAAGCAAAAACGGAAAAGTGATTCGCAGAGTGAAATACAGTCACTCAGAAAGCAAGTGAAAGCACTAGAACATAAAATGAGTGTGATGGCGGTGAAGTCTACAAGTGACCCCCCACAAGAACACTCAACTCAGTCTCGCAGACACAAAGTAGCTTCGTGCCCCAAGCCTGTTTCTTTCAAAGCATCATCTGCTAGAGAGAGTGATGAATATTTCTGCTATAAATGTGGAGAAAATGGTCACATAGCTACAAGGTGCGCTGCACCTGAGAACCCGCAGAAAGTCATAAGAAAACTCATACGATTAGTACGAGGAGTATCTGGTCCTAACTAAGAGGCACCAAGATACCACTTTTTTATGTCCGATACCGATACATACATAAATTTGGATATCTGCCGATACCGATATGAATCCGATATAGTGTTTTTTAATCAACAAAACTGTTTTTTTAAATATCTTGCTGCATTTTGTATAAGTTCATACTCAAGTTTAAAACAACAACTACTAAAGCTATTCTGTTATACCTGTATAGCAAAAAAAATATTTCATAGTTCAGCAATACTGATCAATCTAATAAACTTAAACCTACACCATCCTCCCTATTCTGGTATTTTAAAGAGTACTTAGCGTAAATATTAAGCAACCTAACTAATAGGGTTCCAACTCCCAGCAACAACAAAAATAAATAAATAAAAAATAGGGAACCACCCCTCACGCTCCACCTCATGATGCTTAATCGACGTAATCAACCTTAATTTGATGCAGTGTGAAAAAAAATGCACAGAAATCAATTATTTTTCAAGAAATATTAAATAGATTCAACATCTTTCTTCAACAAAATTGCAGACTGCACAGATGGTACCTTCCCAAAGTAAAAAGTACTATAGCTTACTAGGGTATATATATTAGACTTAATAGTCACTATATACAGTAATTGACTTCTATTCATTTTACATCAAATTAAAACTTTGGGTGTCAGATAATTATTTATTAAAAGCTAGACATTTTAAATGAGAATAAGAAAGAAAAGTATGTCTTTGTGCCCCCTTTTCCCTGTTAATGCCCTATCGGCCCCCCTGGCTAAACTTTGCTAGATCCGCCCCTGCACAGTTACCAGCCGTCAGCTACGTAGAAAAAGATCCTGGTGTAGAAAGTAATATTAAATAAATTCTAACAACAGCTTATCAAGCTTAAACGTGCTGCTGTTGTTCAGCCGCTGGTTTCCTCTTTCTGGTGCAAAGTGGGCCAAAAAAAGAGAGACGGACTCGCGACAGAAAAGCCGATCAGCTGATCATTAAGCAGTTTCACGATTGAAGTAGCAGCCGGAGAGCGAGAGGCAGTCGCTTGTTAAGCTTAACGTGGGAATGCTTTACAAACATTCAGAGATGGACTTACACACTTGCTTTACTTCTCTCGGGGATAACTTTGTCGGAGATGAAATGCCGGGTTGCTAGCGAAGCTCCACATGCTATCCAGACCACCGACAGGTCCCGCATGCCACAGCCGCTCTATCACGTGATGCATACTGCTCCAACGTGCTAACGTTCTGAGGTGAGTTACGGCGTGTTGCAAGTTTTGTGAGGTGCTTTCGTGATATTTAATGGATCGGATTACATTTTTTATTTTTCTCCGATATCCGATCCAGTAATTTAGGTCAGTATCGGACCGATACCGATACGTAATATCGGATCGGTCCATCTCTAGTCCTAACAAGGAGGACCCAAATCCTACAGGAGAAGTGCAATGCGTTGCTCGGACCAACAAGGTTGAAGTCCCAGAAACTGACACAGGCCTGCCTGTGTCATGGTCCTGGGTCGTGCGACCCAGTGTTTTGTGTTTAGTCTATTTTGATGTTTATTGTTTGTTTAGGTTCATTAAGTTATTCCAGCTCATTTGTAATTATATCACCCTTGTATTAAGCCTCCCTTGCCCTTCATGTGTTTATGTCTGTGTGTCTTGTGTTGTCAAGTTCATGCTGTCGCTTCTGTCATCTTCCCCTGTACTCCGTCTCCCTGGTTCGTGCGTCTACCTGTCATGAGTCATGTCTGCATGGTTATGTTTAGTTCATGTCATGTCTAATCTCCATGTTTCCTGTTTTACTTTGAAAGTCTGTATTCAATGTCAGTGTATTTAGTTTCACCTCTCCTGTCCTGTCGTTAGGTTCATGTGTGTCAGCTGTGCTCCCATGTGTGGCCACTTCCCCTGATCATCCCTCATGTGTATTTAGTCTCTGTGTTTCATACAGTCTGTGTCGCGTCGTCTGTGTTCTCACCTCCATGTTTTCCCGGTCAGTCTTTGCAGCGAACATCATAGTCTCTGAGTTTCCTTAGTTTGTCACAGTATTAGTTTTCCCAGTTTAGTTATAGCCTAGCCACGCTATCCTTGCTTTGTTTGTACACCTTGTCTCCAGCCATAATAAAGGCTCGCTTTCTGTTAAGTTCACTCCCGTCTACTCACTTGTGTACGCACCTGGGTCCATTACACACACCACCGCACGGCCTGTCTCTGCAGACTGTGACAGTCTGAGGGTCTTGTAGGCCTGTCATTTATTCACACAGTCAAAGTCAATGATGTGGCCTGTGATGCTCTTATTGATAGTGGGTCTAACGTGACTATTATCTTTGAAAGCTGGTATAACCAACACTTGGCAGATGTCCCCATAAAACCTCTCTCTCGCTTGGGACTCTGGGGACTTGCTGACACAGAGTATCCCTACAAAGGCTATGTTGTTGTAGAGATGGAGTTTACCAAGGAGATCACTGGTGTCTCCAGGCGAGTAGAAGTGCTCGCATTGATTTGTCCTGACCCGAAAAACCAGCAACAAACCCCCGTGTTGGTGGGCACCAATACGTCTCTGTTCCGCCGCCTATGGGACTTGGTGCAAATGAAAGGTGACCAGAACACAGCTCATTCCATGAGAATTCAGTCTGTGTATGCCCCCATTAGGGCACAGGAGCAACTGCCAAAAAATGATGTGCTGGGACAGATAAAATGGAAAGGGCCCTGCCCTCTTTCTATCGCCCCAGGAGCAAATTGCTATGCCACCTGCAAAGTAGACAGGCACAGTGCCCCCTCCAAAGACCTTATCTTGATTGATGCACCCTCTACCCAGTTACTCCCTGCCGGCGTGCTGGTACAGCCAGGTGTGCTCTCAGATGCTGGTATAGACAGCAATAGCTTGAATGTACTCCTCCAAAATGAGTCCACAAAGACAGTCTCCATACCAGTGGGATCTGTCATTGCTGAAATGTTTGCCGTGGATACAGTCACCCCAGTCCAACCCTCTGACCTTGCCACTGAGAAAATAGATCCAAACCTCTTCGATTTTGGGGACTCCCCCATCCCCGAGGAGTGGAAAAGTAGACTTCG